AAAAATTATTTATGTATACAAAAAGTGGGGTACAGGCCAGATGTGCAGGGGGTGAGAGGAGTATTCACCAGAGACAGAGTGGGAAGCAGAATGGGCAGATCCACTGAAATACACTGCTTGAGGGGAGCAGAGGGTGGGTCAGGAGAGGTCTGCTATTCCATTTGAGTCACCTCCCTGGCTCAGAATCTAACTAGTGCTGCAGTGGCTGTGGAGAGCTTCATAGTGCTGGGCTTCAACCCACTGAGCCACCAGGGAGGGTCCCAAGCCCCGTTCTTTAAAAGAACTTTTTACCTGTAATTTAAGAATGATTTAATTTTAATTCTAAGATCTTTTCTTACTGTATTCAAAAGGAATAAAGATGGATGCATTTCACTGAGCACACCAAAAAAGTCTAACATTCCATTTACATTAAAGCTGCTACATTTTCTGGATATATTGGATAAACTGAGTCAGATTAATATTAAATAACTTGTGAAAACCCAACTATGAAATAAGAAATAAACTATGGAATGTGAATTCCTAGTTTTCTGTTCTTAACACTATAAAACTATTCCTCTTTATGACATGATTTTAAAGAAGCACAGCTTACTTACTTTTCTGCTTTTAGATTTGGAAGCAAGTATTTGTCTAAAACAGATGGAATTTTTAGTTTTATGAAGAAATTCCCTTTGTAAAACTAAAGAAACTGAAGCTAGTTAGCCAAGAAAATTGTTCATTTGGGGGGAAAATATAATTTATAGTACCAATTATAACAATTTAGTTCTACTTTAGTTTTATTATTATAGCTATAAACCAGGATTTTCTCAGAAATAAAGAACAAAATTAAAAAAAAAACTTTTTTTTATCTGATTGTTTCAGGTATTCTTCAAGAGGTTTTTTTTAAACTAGTATTCATTAACCTAGGTGACCAAATAATATTGATAATTACTTGTTAATGTTCACTAAGTAAATGTCCCACAAAGTCAGAAGCCTTGAACATCCCAATCATCACAGTAATTGTAAAACCTACAAATTGCTACCAGATCAGAGAAACTAAAATATTTGTTGAATGAATGCAGAAGTTATATACTTACAATAAAACTATATGTTGTGTTATTTTGATCCCTGTATTTAAAGCATTTATTTGAGATTCTAAAAAAAATTTAGATATTCACTAGATATGGTAATCACTTTTATCATGATTGTCAAGTGACTTAACCAAAAAAAAAAAAAAAAAAACCAAGTTAGTTGTTTTCTATTCTAAAATGTTAATTGTGGTTCAGTATCAAAAATAATCTTTAATACATAATGTTGCTAAATTAAGTTTGACAGAAGCATTTAAGAGTATATAATACCCTTAATTATCCTGTGCGATTCATACCCTAAAAAGGCAAGCCCACTAGATTTCCCAGCAGTGAAAAGGTCTGGTAGCTGTGTAGTTGCTCTTCTGCATTTTAGAACAAGACAATAAAATGTGCAAGGAGGGGGAGGGTAAGCCACAAAAGGAAGCTGAAGCTTATTTCTGCATCTGCCTCACCCTTCAAACCACAAAAACTCCTCTAAAACCTGCTCAGTTGTGTGAAGGGTGGAAAAAAATGCACCAAAATGTTAAAAAACAGGAACAATGCACTTTTTTTTGAGAAAGGTAAATAATTAACAATTAACTTTTATGCATTTTCTTTTAGTTTGTTGAAAAAAATAAATTCTGAAACACACCTTAAAATTAATAGAAAAACTCTTAATTTGGAGAGAATTCTGCAGCCCACCACATGCAAGAATTCTATACTTATCCTATATACTTCAAAATGCACAAGTCTTGGGGGAAACAAAATTATGATCCCAATTTTCAATTTGCAAAAATATAGGATATTAAAATTGGCAAAATATTGAATGCATTTAAAATTCTTAGCAAATGAAAGATCATGATTTCTAATTTACCAAGGCTTATTAATTAGATAGATTAATATTTAGCATGTGACTCATTAGCCCTGTCAAGTAAAAGAAAAATGTTGGGTCTCTTCCATAAAGATGTTAGAAGATGAGATATTAGTTGATCATTCTAATCAGATCTACAAGTTTTAGCTTTAAAATATCAAAAAGAAACATGATTCAATTCTATAATTATGATGGCAACTCATAAAACAATTTAGAATTATTGATATTGTTTTCATTAGTTTTAGTACTTCAAAAATTTCTAAAAAAAATTTACAGAATTTCTCTCTCCCTTGATATTTCTTATTCTGTAAAATTAATTTAATAAATGTAAATTTCAAAATAATTACTTGGAAGAATAGAAAAGAGTGTTCTTTATTGTGTGTATGTTTAAGGCTTTGTATATTCAATTACCTACTCAAAGCAGTTTCTACACATTTTTTGCAATAGAAGAAAACTTGGAGACATCTAGTTTCTCTCTCATTTTAAAAGGAAATCATACAACTAAGTAAATCCCAACTTCAGATCCAAAGCAGTGACATGTCGACAGACTTCCAATTTAGTCTTTCTTTTTTTCTAATATGCTCTATGACACCACATGGCACATATTTCTGATGTGGATTTTGAATAAAAGGAAACTGACTCCTAATGAAATCTTAGACTGCCTCATAAAGTTTTGTTGCATTCTAAATGGTGAGATATTGGCAGTTATGTTCATTCTGGGCACTGTTCAAAGCATTATTAAATATTATCTAATTTAATACAATAGCCATATGTTCATCAACACTTTTCACAAGAGAAAACCATAGCACCAAGAAACACAGAAATTTAAAAGGCGCCATATAGTTCATAAATGGCAAAGCCTCCATGAGGACCACACACACACTACATTTGCTAGAGAGTAGGGATGTCCTGAATGAACTACAGATTGAGTTTTGTGGGCTACACCGCAAACGCCGGAACTACAAGTCCCAGCATCACCAAAGCGAGGCCTGCTGCGATCTGAGGGTGGAGCTAAACAGCCATGTTGGATATAAAACCGGACCTGCGGGCTTTGGGGGTCTCTTGGCCTCGTGGCTCGCATCTTGTCTCTTGGCTTTTAGCCTGTTTCAGCGGTGCTACTGGGGTTCCAGGTCCACAGAACTGGTAGGATGTATTCACCAATTTATCTCTCTCTCTTTCCCTGGTTCATTAATTTTCTTTTCTCTTGTAAATAAACCCATTATTAACCTTTTGTGTGTACCTGCAGTTTAAGTCTATTTAAGCCCACGGGTGAGAATCCAGTCAGGCAACCCAATGTGAATTGTGACAGGTGAATTGCCCTGCCCATTTATCTTAAACTGCCTCTTCCCAAAGCTATTCTCAAATAAGAACACTGACCTTTTATCAAGGCCTTTGAAGTTAGGTAGAATGCATCATCTAAACTACCTAACTCTCCACAGATTTGATTCCCAAGCCAATTAAGACTAGACCCAGAGGAGTTGATAACTTTCTTTCTAATCATTGTTAAATAATGATCAGAGTTGTATATCACTATAAGAACAGAAACCCAAAATAATGTATATATCATAAAGCTTCCTTACCTTCCCAGCTCTGTAGATGTTAGCACATAAAAAGTATCAAAGTTTTCCATTTTAATTGGTGTTTGAGGAGTTACAGTGAGTAAGCCTGAAATACTTCGACAATCAAATCTTCTTCTCAACATGTTAGATGGTGCCTGGGTAAGCTGTTTCAGTCAATAATTTTTACCTATTTTAAAAAAGAGAAGATACAGGATATAACTTAAATGTAATTAAGGAGGGGAGGAGATGTTATCTCAGCCAGGATGTATATTACATTGCACAACTCCAAACATAGCTATGAGATATAACCCACAAAAAAAAAAAAAAAATAAATAAAATAAAATTGTCCATTAAATTAAATTAACTCAAGAAAAAATGTACAAAATGATGTAAATATAAACCATTATAAAAAAAAAAAATGTAGCCCAAGCATCAGTGACATCAAATAAATGCTTAACCCACAAA